CCCGCCCCGGCCCCCCCTCCAGTCCAGCTACACCCACGGCCCCCAAGTGCGCCCGGCCCCTCAGCACCACGCCCCCCAACCCCTCACGTAAGCCCTGCCCACCCACGGCCCCCCACGGCTCCGTGGGCCCCTTCACATCCGACCTGTCTCCTCCTAGTGGCCATCAAGACCATGAACAAGGTCGCCAGTCACATCAACGAGATGCAGAAGATCCACGAGGAGTTTGGGGCCGTGTTTGACCAGCTGATTGCTGAACAGACGGGTGAAAAAAAAGAGGTGAGGCCCCTCTGCCCGGACACCTGTTTGTAAAGAGGGGGGCAGGTCTGAGTGTTTTCCGTGTTGTTTGTAAGGGAAACAGTCACAGAGGCGTTGGTGTCGTTGGTGGAACTTTGGTCCCTCGTCCGGGCTGCAGTGTGGACTTTCTGACTCCCGCTCCTGGGCCCTCGGACCCGGGGTGGTTATTGGGTGGATTTCCACCACCTCGGCCTGGGCTCTTCCTAAAAGCACCAGAAGGGCGGAAGCTACGTCCTCGGAGGTTAGGATTGTAACTGGCTTGTAGCAGGTGCTCAGTGAAATAGTCGTTGAATGGTGACTATGAAATCATTTCTTATAATATGTTTTTTTAGAAATTGATTTTAGAGAGAGGGGAAGGGAGAGAGAGAAACATCAATGATGAGAGTCATCCATCGGCTGCCTCCTTCACGCCCCCCACTGGGGATCGAACCCACAACCCAGGCATGTGCCCTGACCGGGAATCGAACCGCAGTCTCCTGGTTCATGGGTCGATGCTCCACCGCTGAGCCACCCCAGCCGGGCGGTTCACTGCAGGTCACACGCGGGTGTGTATGTGGAGTGCAGACGTGTCCCGGTGGTTTGTAAACGTGGCTGGGCCGGGTTTTCCGTGGGAGGGAGACTGAAGCCACCACCAGCTGGACAGACTGCCCCGGACCCCGGGCTGCAGAGGGGGCGCAGGCCACGCGGCGGGAGTGTGGCCCCGAGGGCGGGCAGGGGCGAGGGTCCCCACGGAGACGCAGTTCGGTTTCTCCACGGGATGCGAGCAGGAGAGCGTGGGAACTTCCTCAGCCTGCTCGGCAGGTCATTTCATCGTCCGGATGTGGAAGGATGAGCCCCGAGACTCTGGATTCGGTTCTCATATCCTTGTAAAACTTGTGTAATGGGAAAAACACATGCTTGTGAGAGAAAAGGGAAAATGCAGACAAAGGCAAGAAGAACCACCTACCGTCTCCATGTTTGGTGTTTATTTTGATTAAAAATTACATACATGTATGTCCTTGAATTGTTACATTTTGAAAGGAGTTTTGCCTGTTGATATTTTATGTTGAACAAAATGTTCATGTTCTTTTAAATTATTCACAAGGATTACCTAGTTACTGTGTGATACCTCGTGTGGCTGCGCAGTGATTTACCGAATTCCTGGCGCTGGGTGGTTTCCTTCGCCTCGTCTGTCAAGTGCTACGACAATACTGCGAACGTTTTCGCTCCTGTGGCCTTCCCCTCCCCTGTAGTTTAGGTTATTTCATGTTGACTAAAGTGAGTTTTTACTGGGTCGTGGGAATGAAGATTTTCCATTATATTCCTTTACGTTTTTCATTATATGCTAGTTAGTTTCTGGGTTTTAACGATCTTGAGAGCACAGGACCGTTATTCCAGGGAGCGGGAAGGTGGTGTAGCGGATGGCAGAGGGTTTAGGAAAAAGATGAACGTGGCTCGGGAGCCGGAGGTTACAGAAGGAAATGGCGCTTTGGTGAAACTGCCCCCTAAAGTGAAATCCTGACAGGTCAGGTCTTTCCGGCGGAGGGCAGAGCCTCGGTGCTGTTCCGAGGAGTCTCTCGTGGGCCGAGGTTTTGTGGGAAGCAAAGTGTGGAAGCTGGAAGGACCCCGCGGATCAAGGGGAGGGCGGTCTCCTCAGTGTTAGGAGGTTCAGAGCCCCGAGAAATCGAGGCTGGGAAAGATGCCAAAGAGGGGAACAGAGTCAGCACCCCGAGAAGGAAGAGAGAAAAAGGACCCTCCACAGGGCCGGAGGGCAGTGGCCAGACACCGTGGACACTCAGGGGAGGCTAGTCCCTTCTTGTCTCTCTGTCCATCCAGGAGACAGGGTGGAGTGGGCTCGAGTCCACAGAAGTCACCCCAGGAGGACGGGCCGGCCGCCCTGTGCCGAGATGAGTTACGGTTCCTTCTACGAGGCTGCTTGGAGCAAATGCTGAGCAGCCTGGGAACTCGGGGGGCAGGCGGTGGGAGGCACACGAGTCCAGGCCTGGCTTCCTCAGTGGTGACTTCTGATTAAAGTCTTTGTGCTCACCACGGCCGGCACTTATTTCACGTGTGCTGTGCAGGCCGCTGACCTGGGGCTTCTCTCGGGGTGCTCCAGAGCTCAGGGCTCCATGGGCTGCGAACCTCTGCCCCCTGGGATCCAGGCCGGTGGCCGCCTTGGGTGTGTCCTTTCCACGGCTGCAGGGCCGAAGCTCAGGAGGGCGCGGACACTTCTGTCAAGTCCAAGGCAGGACGTGGCCAAATCCCAAGTCACCGGGGCTTTGCCTCGTCTTCTGGGAGAAGGTGCGGATGTAACCCCATTAGGGGAGGAAGTGGGGTTTGGGCCACGATCTGACACCCCTGAGGATGTGGCCCGGAGCAGTGCCGGGAGTTTAACTCCGGTGTTGAACCACTTCTGTGCGGTGTTTGTCGTGAGTAGTGGCAACTGTAGTCCCCTGAGCTGATCCTGCCCTGAGGGGCTGGTTGGCTCGCTATTTCATGCTTATAAATGAAATTAATATGGTTGCCTAATTGGTTTTAATCGTTGTCTTTACCACTAATACAGCTCAGTGACAGTGAGAGTAGTTGTTGAATGATCCTGGTCATTAAGTGGCAACAGCGCCACGTCTCTGGCGCCGTGGCCTGGTTTGGTGGCTCGAGAAGGGCAGTGCCAGGGAGTGACTCGTGGCTGGCTTTCAGGTGGCGGACCTGAGCATGGGCGACCTGCTGCTGCACACCACCGTGATCTGGCCGAACCCGCCCGCCTCGCTGGGGAAGTGGAAGAAGGAGCCGGAGTTGGCCGCCTTCGGTACGTGTCAGGAGCGG